TTTTTTTTTTTTTTTTTTTTTTTATCTTATATTTGTTTTAATTTAATATACATATAATAAATTATTTTTTTCTTAAATTATATGCTTTTTTTTATATACATATTCTTGGAAAAACATTCTTTTTCATTAGATAAAAATAAAAAATTAGGATTATTCTAATATTCAATGTATACACATTTTTACTTTTTTTTTTCATTTATAAAGTACAGAATAATTTAAAAAAAAAAGAAAAAAGTAGGAATATAAAATAAAAGACAAAAAAAAAAAAAAAAAAAAAAAAAAAAAAAAAAAAAAAAAAAAAAAATATAATATTCGCAACCAAATATTAGAAAATTATACTTTATAGAAGAAATAAATATATATATAAGAACTTTTGTTGTTGATACATAAAAATTAGAAATGATAATTAATTAAAAGGAAAAAATTTTAGATTAAAAAAAAAATATATTTAAAAAGGTATTTTTTTTTTTTTTTTTTTTATATCTAAAAATTAAATATATTTATGAATTTTTATAGTTCTGTGTTAAAGTTGTTATCATTATTTTATAATTTATATTTGTGTACTTGCATAACTTGAAATTTAACTTTAATTTTCATAGTATATATGTTGTGAATTTTATATGATATATTAAAATATTTTTATGAAAAAGGTATATACCGTAAAATTAACATTAAAAAAGATTTTATATTAACTTTTCACATCCTTTAATTAGTTTTTGTGAAGTAATTTAAAAAAAAAAAATAAAATAAAAAAAAATGAGCAATACATTTATTTACTGGAATTTTAAGGGAAGTAAGGGAGATGCAAATATTTTAAGGATATCTTTACCATGTAGTTACAATACAATAAAGAAAAAGATTTTAGAGGAAATTAATTTAAACTTGCAGAATAATTTAGATATACTATTATATTATAATAATGAAGTTTTAAGTGAATATGAAAGTATTCATAATGAAATGTTAATTGAAATACAAAGAAGTAACATTGATGTTGTAAAAGAATTGTTACAAAAAAGTAATGAAAAGTATCTGGAAAGAAACAAAAACACAATAGAAAATAAAGATACATCGAATTTAAAAAAGAATGAAGATTTCAATTTAAGTAAAAATAGTGATAAATTAAATAACCATGATGCAAATAAAATATCAAAAATAAATAAATTACAAAATTATTCTTATAACAACAAACCATGGAATGTTTACAATAGAAATAATATAAAAGAAGATAACGATGATGAAGATATGAAAATTCAAGAAGTAATGGAAAAGAATAACTTATATCGTAGTGATTATAAATCAAAAATGAACTATTTCAAAAAAGACAAAAATAATACAAATTTTTTTCAAAATAAACTGAAAAAGGTAACATCACCTACAATATCTAAAAGAAATTTTAATAGTTATAATAAAACAGAAAATGTATCAAGCGGAATGATGATGTACCAAAAACAAAATATACAAAATAAATGTTACAAATTAAAAAATGGTCAGAAGAATAATTTAAATAATATACAAGCAGAAACAAACACAAAATTTATTTCTCCAAATTATATATGCCATATGTGTGGTAAAAAAGGACACAGTATAAAAAATTGCACAATGAGCAATTTCAATAATAATAAGAAGATAAAAATTCCCACAGGAATACCAGCCAATTTCTTGACTAAAATAAAATCGGAAGATATTTATAAATATGATCAAATATATATATTAAAAGATGGTAGTTATGGGGTAATGAAAGATGTAGAAGATGTAAGTGGCAGTGCTTATTTATATAGAAGTGTTGATGATAAAATAAATATTTATTTAGGTGTAAATGATAACAATAATAAAAATGAAAGTGACAAATTTTCTAATATATATAAATGTTTATTATGTAAAAAATTGTATTCATCTCCAATAACATTACATTGTTGTGGAGAAACTTATTGCAAATCATGTTTATTCAAATACAATAAGAAAAGAAAAATTGATCAATCATATCACAGTAGTTCAGACCAGAAGGTACAAGTTATGAAATGCCCTAATTGTTCCAAATTTATAAATTCAGATGAATTAATTATTAATACAAATATTAAAAATGTTATTGATACTATTATTAAAAATCAAAAAATTAATGATTCTAATGAGGAGACAAATGTATCATCAGTTGGAGGATTATTAAATACAAATAAAGATAAAAAAATGCCTTTTGAAAATAATAATAATATATCAGATAATTTTATAAATAATAGTAATGAGGTAATGCAAAATGACAAAAACTATAATAGCCAGAATAATGAAAATAAAGTTAATTTCAATGAAAGTAATATATCAAACAATGAAATATCTTTTGATAAAACAAAAGAGCAATTCTCAGTTAGTAACAATACTCTAAACAACAACGATGAAGAATTACAAGATAATAATTATAATCCTCTAATTAACTTACCAATTAATTTAAATGAAATAAAGAAACAACATGATTATGCATCTGCTTATATAGCTCAATACAAAATGCAAAAAAAGAAAGAAAAAAAAAGAAATATTGATCTCAATCTTATTTTTATGAATAAAAAAATATGTTAAATTACATGAAAAAAAAAAAATAAAATAATTTTTTTTTTTAAACTGTAATTCACTTTTAAATTATCCATTACATAATATATGTGTATATTTTTAAATAATTTTTTTTTTTTTTTTTTATACATTTTAACTAGAAAAAAATGTATATTAGTTTTTACTCAATTTTGTTAAACTCATATTTTTATTATTTGCTTTTAAATATTACTTTAATTGTTAAAACAAAAAAAAAAAAAAAAAAAAATACCAAAAATTTATTATTTTTGTTTAATTTCCACTTATTCCACTAAAATACAATGAAAATTAGTGAAGTTGCTTTGATGAAAAAATGCATATTTTTCAATGTATTTTAATAATAAAAATTATGAAAATCTAATAAATAAAAAATACAATATTTAATAAAATTCTTTTGTTCATTTGAAATATTTGAAAAATTAGGAACTAGTTTATCATTCTTCACAAAATTATTAAATCAAATTATTATTTATATATAATATTTAAAAGTTATTTAAGTCTAATTTTATTTTTATGTTTTCATAATTTATGAAAAAAAAATTATAATTACAAAATGTAAAAATTTAACAATTAAAAAAAAAAAAAATATATATATATATATATACATATATATGTATATATAAATATATATATGTAATAAATGTACATACAACATAATATATATTCATGGTTCTTTTTTTTTTTTTTTTTTTTTTTTTTTTTTTTTTTTTGGAACTTCATAATAATAGTGTTTTGATAAAAGGTAAATCTATTAAAAAAAAAGAATTTATACTCTCAATTTTTTATTCATTATTTCAATAGCAACAAATATTTATTTCAATTCTTGACCAATATATATAAATTTTAGTTTTTTTTTTTTTCTCTCAAATTCTTTTAAAAATATATTAAAATAAATTAATAAAGATTAAAATATTTCTTGAGTGTTAAAAAAAAAAAAGTTTTTTTGCAAAACTACACATTAATAATAGATGAATTGTAAAGATGGTTCTGTTTTTTTTTTACAAACTACTACGTTATTTTTCTTTTTATATAAATCCTATAATACAAAAATTTATCATATTTATATGAAAATTATAATCAAATTTCAAATAATCAAAAAGAACTTATATTTTTATAAATTATCAAATAATCATTATTTTTTTTATATTTTTAACTCAATATACATCTGGTGATAAAATGGAAAAGTTTCTTTTATTAGGATTGTTAATGTCATAAAAATATTGATGTACTTTAGCCTTTATTTGATTTAATTCATCACTTTTTTTTTTTAATTCATTTTTTTGATTTTCTATTAGTTTCTGAAATTGTGCAATTTTTTGATATTGAATTTTTACAGCACTAATTAAAACTTTTTTTTCTTTTTGTAAGGTGTCAATCTTCAGTTTATAAGAATTTTGATTTTTTTCGTAATCATCATTATTAATAAAATTATTTTGTATAAAATCACTTAATAATGGTATCATAATTCTTTTGGCTTGATTAATTTCATTACATGTAAGTATACTTTCTAAAATATTATCTATACATGACTCAATTTTTCTGGATATAAATTTAAGGTTCTCTTCTTTCGGTGAGAGTAACGACGGTGAGACATTTACAATATCATTATTTTTTAAATCATTAAATTCGGTATAATTACAATAATTATTATTATTAATATCTTCATAAGTTACTGAATCATCTTTTTTATTTTCATTTTCGTTATCACATTTAATAATATTACTAAAATTATTATTTTCTGTTTTTACCTTTTTATTTATTTTTTTGGTGTCTTGATTAATTATTGTGTCATCATATATAAATTGAATATTTCTTTTTCTACCATTTTTATAACCATATATATCTTTTATAATGTGATTTATATCTACATTTATGCATTCATGCGAATTATTTTTATTTTTTTTATTTTTCATCAAATATCTATTTTCAACACCAACGGCACCTGCAGACATTTTTTTTTATCTAAAATTCCTTTTCTTTTTTCGATATTATTTTTAAATGTAAAAATTTTAACTAAATTTTGAAATAATTTATATATATATATATATATATATATATATATATATATATATATATATATATATAAAGATAAAAAAAATAACAAAGTTTAAAAACTATAAAAATAAATTAATTTATTACATAAGAGTTTATATGTATAAATGTATATTTATACGTACGTATATATGTATATGATTATGTATATTACATATATGTATAAATATATTATATATTTATAGAAAAATATAAAAAAAATAAAAAAAAAGGAAATGTAAATTCTTAATAAAGATAGAATCTTCTAAATAATAATTTAATTTTAATTCACAAATTATGTATATAAATTTTAGCTATACTTCCGAATTTTTACATATTTGCCTACTTAAAATTTTTAATTAATGTTTTTTTTTTTATCTTATATATATATATATATTTTTTTTTTTAATATCGCATATGTTTTATTTGCTCACATTTTTTTTTTATCTAAAATATGAGAAAAAAAAAAAAAATTATATATTTAAAAACATATATATAAACATATGTATGTATATATTTATATGCAGTTTAACTTAAAATTTTTTAAAATGTTTATATATGTAGTTCTTAAAAATAAACAATTTTTTAAATAATAACATTTAACCTGAAAAAAAAAAATTTTAAATTGATTTATTTATATAATTATGTGTGCATATATAAATATATTAATTTTTATGTTGTTCATTTAGAGAATAGAAGCATGAAATGTTCTGATCATTAATGGCGAGTGATTACTTCATTTTAATTTTAAATGTGCATATATTTAGAAATATAAAAATAAAAACATTACATAAATATATAAAATAATAAAACAAAGAAATATGCATATAATAAGTAGTTACTTCAAGCTTTCTTCTCTCTTTTTACAAAAAATTTTATTAAAATGCTTTTAAAATAACGAAATTACTAAATATATATTGTTTTAATTCATTTCATTAAATAAAAACATTTTTATCAATAAAAAAAAAAAAAAGTTAAAAGTCGTATTGTATTTTTAAAAAAATACTATAAAAATTATTAATGTATAAAAATAAAAATTCTATTTCTCTTTCGGAGGATTTTTAAGCATCAAGAACATATAAAAATTCATAACCTTTTATAAAAAAAAAAAAAGAATTGTTTTGACATTGTTTTTTTAAAAATAAATATAAGTACATGTACAAATCTTTATAATTAATATTTATATAAATAATTTTAACATAAATACAAACAAAAAAAAAAAAAATTTAAAAAACTTTAAAACTTTTTATATCTGTTTTCTTTTTCATTTTAAAAAACATTAATTTCATCTTTTTACATAATAAAAAAATTTCAAGATAATTTTATGTTATACATTACACTTCATAGTGTTTTAAAAAAAAAAAAAAAAAAAAAAGTAAATAAATCAAATAATCTTATATTTGTATTACAGACTAATTTTAAATAAAATTTATACGTAATAACTAATCTTAAAAAGTTTTAAAAATATATTATGTAGTATCTTAAAAAATTAGTTCTTAATTCATCTTCTTTTTTATTATTTTCGCAAAAATCTGTATTTAATTAGTATAATAGTTTATAATACCTCTTAAAATTTTAAGATGTTACTTATTTTATAGTATAAAATATTTTAATTTTTACGTTTTATAGTATAAGGAAAAATCATTTGAATAATAATCATGCAATTATAACAGAAAATTTCAAAATTTTTTATTTTCTGATGATATCTTTACCATTTACGTAAAAAACTGTTTTTCTTAACCAATACAAAAATATATTATTATATCTTTATCTTAATATAACATAATATTAAAATAGGAATAGCATTTAATAATATGTTAAAATATAAAATCATAAAATATTATAAAGTTATATATGTAATAATATTAAAAATTAAAAGTAATTTATATTTTGAAATAAAGTCCTTAAGATATTATAATTATATACATCTCATCTATCATAAAAATTTTAGTATCTTTACTCTTTTTTTCCATTCATAATTGTAATTCAACTAATTTTCTTCTCAAAATTAAATAAATATATATATATATCAATTCAAGAGAAAAAATTAAAAAGTTCACAATCATTAAAAAGGGACATAACACAATGATTTTTAAAAGATAATATTTTATTAAAAAAAAAAAAAAAAATAATAAATTATCTCCGTAGATATTTAATAAATTACATAATATAAAATTTTCATAAATTCTTAAACTTATGAAACAAAATAATTTTATGTATATATTAAGCATCTCTAATAAAAAGTTTATACGGTACTATGAAAGTAAAGATACAGCAAAAATAAAGTATACTTTTGTATAATTATATGTATAAAAATTATAATTTTTATATTAAATTATAATTTTTAGAGGGAAAAGGGGTTGAGATTTAACTTCATAATTTCATATATTAATATGAATAAATAACTTAAAAGTTTCATAACTACATGTTTAATATATAAAATAATAAAAATTAAAAGTTTTTTCTTTTTATTCCTTTTCTTGTTTATTTTGAATTAGTGTATTTTACTAAATTTTTTTTAATTAAAAAAATATAAAGTGGAAATTTATTTGATACATACTTTTTTTTTTTTTTTTTTTTTTTTTTTTTTTTTTCATGTAGAATAATTATATATGCATATATATATAATTGTACTAAAAAATTATTTTGAATTATTGCCCCAATTTTGAAATTTTTATTTATTTATTTTTTTTTTTTTTTCATTCCTTTATTTTTATTAAGATTTATTAATAATTTTTTTCATGTTTTTGGAGCATTATAGTGATTAATAAATGCTATTATAAAATATATTTGACATAACTTTTTAATATATTTTCTGATATTATTTATAAATTTTAGTAAGGTAAGATAAAAAAAAAAAAAAAAAAATCTATAAGTTTGAAAAAGGACAATCTTAATAAATTTTTATATGAAGCTTTATAAAATTATCAAATAAATATTTTTATGAAAATTAGAAAAAAAAATTTTAAAATCACTGTTAAAATATTTTTAAAATAAAAAGAGAAGTTATAATTTTAATTTTTGTTTAAAAAAATTTTAAATTATGTTCTTGTTGTGTAAATATAAATGTATATATTTTTTTTTTTTTCTTTTTTTTAATTTAGATGGGTAGAAGACCAGCTAGGTGTTATAGATATTGTAAAAATAAGCCTTATCCCAAAAGTAGATACTGTAGAGGTGTTCCTGATCCTAAAATAAGAATTTATGATATGGGAAAAAAAAAGGCAGATGTAAATGAATTTAGTGGAGTTGTGCATTTAGTTTCTTATGAATATGAACAAATATCATCTGAAGCATTAGAAGCTGCACGTATTTGCGCAAATAAATATATGATAACAAATTGTGGTAAAGATAATTTTCATTTAAGAATAAGAGTACATCCATTTCATGTTTTAAGGATAAATAAAATGTTGTCATGTGCTGGAGCTGATAGGCTTCAAACAGGTATGAGAGGAGCATTTGGAAAACCTAATGGGGTTGTAGCAAGGGTAGATATAGGTCAGGTATTACTTTCTATTAGAACGAAAGAAAATTTTGTTCCTAAAGCAGCTGAAGCTTTAAGAAGAGCAAAATATAAATTCCCAGGAAGGCAAAAAGTTTTTATTAGTAATAAGTGGGGATTTACTAAATTTTCAAAGGATGAATATCAAGAATATAAAAAAAAAGGAAGAATTATTTCTGATGGTGTTAATTGTAAATTTATTAGAGAAAAGGGACCATTAGAAAATATATATAAAGATATAAACACAATCATAGAATCTTAAATGTTTTGCATTTATACATATTTGTACATATACTATTATTTATTATGAACTTTTTTGATAACCTCATATAATTTTTTTATTTATTAAACAGAATATAAAAGTAAAAAAATATAAATTAAAAAGAATACAATAAAAATTCTTAATAGATAAATAGAAAAAGAAAATTTATAAAAAAAAAAATGTCAAAAAGAAAAATAAAAGAAAATAAAAAAAATATTTTTAAATAAAACACATAGAAATATATATGTACTAATATTAAGAGACTGCTCTAAATTATTCTTGTTTTTTTATTTTTTTTTAAAAAATTAAATTATTTAAAAATATAAAAAAGACACATATTACCATTTTTTCTTTATTTGGGATTTAATCTAAATACAAAAACAAAATTAAAATGTTTTTTATGAAGAATTAAAAATTATTAAATATATATAACCTAAAAACATTTTGTTATATGCATGGTAATTAACGTTTTTTTTTTTTTTTTTCCAATTCTATAAAAGTATTCATGGTGAAAAAGATATTGAAGATAATTTTTTTTTGATTTCCTATTATTGTGATATAATCATTTAATCATTCGTATTTGCATATAAAGGTATATAAGTATAATTTAATGTAATTTTTTAAATTTCATTAGTTGAAAAATTACATTGAAAATTATTAAAAAAGGAATAAAAACAGGCTAATAAAAATTAGTGAATCTACATAACATACTTCTATATATTACTTTTTGCGAAATTTTCATTTAGTTATATAGTACTCATTTATTCTATATTTTTTTTTTTTTTTATTTTATCTATTTTTTTCTCCTTATTTAAGAAATATATACATACCTTTAGTATTTATAGACTAAGTATTTATTAATTTCATTATTTATTTTAATAATGTCTTCTAAAAAATAGAATTAATTGAATTAAATTTTTACAAGAATACATTTAAGATAATTCATACATGAAAATGTTGTAATTAAATGATTATTATAAAGCATAAATTACTCTTATATTTAATAAAATGTCTCACCTTACCATTTATTTTTGTTCTTATATTTCTATCCATGATTTAAATTAATCATCTAAAAAAAAAAAATATATGATTTTTGAATTAAAAGTACTACAAAATAAATAATAATATGAAACCGTATTACTAAAATTAACTTAAAAATAAAGGCTTAAAAAAAAAATTATGATCATATTTAAATTCAATATATTACTTTTATAGATTTTATAATATATATTTTTTTCGTTTTTAATCTTATAAAAATTCAGAATTATAACGTGAAAAAAAACTAAAAAAAAAAAAAAAAAAAAAAACAGAATTATATAAATTGCTTTTATTTCACAAAAAAATTTCATAAACAATTTTCTCTACAGTTAATTATTTAAAAAGGTACTACAAATAAAAGTAAAAAAGGTAATTCTAAAAAATTTAAGTTTCTATTAATTTAATTATTTTACTACAATATATATTTCAAAGAATTTCATCAAAAAATAATAGAAAATTATAATTTTTAAAAAAGAGTAGACATTTTAATATAAGTATTATACAGCCAATGAAATTAAGTACACACTAAATGTATTTTAATAAAAAGCTATAAATTAAAAAATAATAGAATAAGTAAAGGAAAAAGTAATAAAAAAAAGTCCATAAAAATAAATGAAAATAGTAAAGGAAAAAAAAAAAAAAAGTTACTAAAGTATACTCTTAGACTTAACAACATCAGAAAAAATTTTATACTTTTTAAAATTATTCATAAACATTTTTAATTATTTAAACATATGAATATTTACTAATACATATAAATGGATATATTTACATTTTTTTAAAAAAGTTCATTATATAACATCATTGTATTTAGTTCTTTAATAATAAAGTTACATAATATTACACACATAATTATAATAAACTTTTCACAGATATCTTTTTTCTTATTCTTAAATAAATGATATATCTCACATAACATGCACACATATATTTGCATAAATATCTTCTGTTTTTTTATTCACTATAATTCTTATTAAATAAAATGAAAAATAATTATTTTAATATTTTATATGCATATAATTAATTGTGATAATTTGATTATTTTATTATTATTCATTCCCTTGTATCACTATTTTCATTTTTTTCAACTTTTTTTCTATTTTTCTTATTTTTTTTTTTTTTAAAGAATACTAAATAGCTGTGCAAAAATAAAAACTATGTAATAATATATATATAATTCATTTTTGGTAATATAAATAAAAGTTAGTTTTTATATAATTTCACTTTTTTATTATATTATAAAATTCACAAAAATATTTTATTATTTTCAATATATATAACTAAAATTAAATTTATGTCAACATTTTTTTTTTTTTTTTTTTTTTTTTTTTGATATTAATTATAGATAAAAAGTTATGGTATATGTTTTTCATTATAAATTTTTTT